ACACCCACTTTGACCCAGGAGTTTGGTACTGAATGGATGGGCACTCAGGACCCCTCATCCAGGGCCCAGGGTTCTCGGCTGGCTTCAGCTCGGGGTCTCCTGTGCCTCCAGGTACAGGCATGGTGGGAATGCTGACTAGAGGTCCTATTTCCCAGGAGACTGTGCCGCAGGCCACTGGTGCAGGGGAGGAGCCACCAGCAAGGACCCCGTTGGCCTACTCTGTCCCGCTGGCCACTACTGTCTTGAAGGTACTTTACCACCTCAGGCCTGCTCCAGCCACGGCCTAGTGGGAGAAGGCCGACTCCCTTCCTTCTAGGCCTCTCCAGGGCTTCACAGGCTTTGAGCCTCTGTCCCAGCACAGTGGCCCTGAATGACAGGCATGGTGAACCATGCAGGGCTGAGCTCAGGACCCTGCTAGGCTCAGCAGTCCTTACCCCTCCATTCCCCAAAAACCCTCCCCAAGGTTAGACCTCAGGAAACCTCACTGGAGCGGCTGCCCATTCTCCTTTGCTCCTCAGGCCTGGTCATTCCTTCTCCACCTCAGTCCCAACTTGCAGGATGGCAAGTGTCTTTCATTCATTCAATGAAGTTGACCAAGGATTCCAAAACTGAACTGGTCCCTGCCCTCTGGAAGCTGAGAGGGGTGGCATTCCCCATCCTGGGCTGCAGGAGGGAGAGCTCCAGGGGGCCTGAGCCTAGCGCAGTCCCCTGGGAGCTGGAGACACTGCCTGGCCTCTTCTGTCTGTCACTCTGACTTCTGCAGGCGCTCCTGTCCCGGCCCGATGCCCAGCTGGTACCTGGTCTGAGGAAGGGAACCCAACCCCAGAAGGATGTCAAGATTGCTCTGGAGGGTGGCTCTGTGCTGGTGGCCACCCACCCATCTGGCCAGCACCCTGCCACCCAGGGTGGGCAAACAGTTTGTCTCCTCAGATAAACAGGGAACAGTGACCACAGAGTGAGGAGCTGGCTCCACTCCAGGGCCTGGCCCCAGCCAGAGAACAAGGGAAATCCCTGCCTGCCTGGGAGAAGCCACCCCCACTTGCCCACAGGCCCCTGGCAGACAACCTGGGGTCAGGCCACACTGGGTGCAGGACACTGGGACTTGACTGCTTTGCAGACAAGGCCATTGGAGGAACATCAGTGTCCAGGCTTGAGGCAGCACCTCTCATCTCTGCCTCTGCCCATCCCGCCCCTGAGCGGGGCCTGGCTGGCCATCCTGGAGACCAGGCTGGAGGGCAGGAGACCATGAGGGGGAAGAAGGGGGCAAGTGCACAAGGAGGGTCCTGGGCTTGAGCTTGAAGTCCCCTCGCTGCCCACAGTGGCATGCCCCCCAGCAACGCTCCGCAGCTGAGGCGCTTGTGCTTGGCCCATGTTTTTCCAGAGTTTCCTGGACTGGAGGGGCTATCTCTGCCACTCCCATGGAGGGGCTCTCTGGACCCTCCTGTCCTCCCGGGCACTTCTGTCCTCTGGGAATGGCTGACCTCCCTCCATGTTCTCCCGGCTCCTATGACTCTGGTGCCCACACAACAAAGTGTCAGGTCTGTCCCAGTGGCCACTACTGTGTTCCAGGGCTGAGGCCACAGCTGTGTCCGAGAGGTTTGTGTCCTGCCAGCAGCCTGTCTGATGGGCGGGGTGGGAATAGTCCCCTGCAGGGCAGGTAACAGGCCTGTTTATCTCCCCCACGTCCCTCAGACGAGGGCCTGGGCTGCACATGTGGAGCGTTTGTACTCCCGGGCAGGAGTCATGCCAGGCCCTCGCCCAGTGCCTTCCCTCCTCCAGCCTCCTTCCAGCTCCCCCACCTCCCCTGCCTGCTCAAGCTCTAACCTCAGCCCTACCTGTCCTCTTCACAGGTTTCTACTGTCCTGAAGGTTCGGGACTCACCTGGCAGCCCTGCCCCCCAGGCACCTATGGCCCCGTGCCTGGCCTGAGCAGCCTGGTGGGGTGTCGAGCCTGTGATGGGGGCAGGTTCTGCCCCGGAGCCAATGCTACAGCAGCAGGCAGACAGTGCTGGGCGGGCTTCTTCTGCTCCAGAGGCTCCACCCGGCCCAACCCGGAGGCCGGCACTGAAGGTACTGGTACCACCCGCTGGACACCCAGGAAGAACGTGAGAACGTGGACCAGCACAAGGAGTTCTGCAAAGCCCTCTGAAAAAAAGAGCTGGAGTGGGGAGTCACCCAACCAAGACCCTGCCCCTACACCCCAGGGCTTGAGCCTTCCGAGGAGACCCCTCCTTTCTCAGGTGCCCCTTCCAGATGCCACTGCTCATGTCAGGAGAAGCTTCCTCTGACCTCTTCCCATCGGTGACAGTGGCATGGGCTGTGGTGAAGGGCAGGTGCAGAGGGTGTGGCCTATAGGAGGGACCCCTCACAGGTGTGCCTCTGGAGCCAGCTGCCAATGGCCCTGGCCTAGAGCCTGTACCAGAGACACAGGGGGACTGCTCAAACACCCACCCTTTACCCTGTGCTTCCCAGTGTCTGGGCTAACTTGTCTCTTGGTTCCAGAGGCAGCTGGCCCATGTCCTCAGGGACACTACTGCCCCAGGGGCTCGGCCGTGCCCCAGCCCTGCCCACCTGGCACCTTCAGCACCCGCATGAAGCTTGGCTCAGAGGTAGGGAGACCTCAGCGGGGGGAGGAGGATGGCGGTGGGGAGAGCCCTGTTTAGATCTAACACCCATGGTCAAAGTTGTCACTTGGAGAACAGGGCTTCCTTCTGGTCTTGACTCAAAAGTCGCTTTCTAAGGGAGACTGTCCCTGGCCCTCCTTAGCGCATATCACAGCCTGAGATACCACTTTACTTCTTGGCCTTATGTTCTGTCTTCCCCACTAACACAGAAAGCTAGGGAGTTTTGTCTTTCTGCTCACTGTCTGTAGTGAGAATGGTCCTGGCTCGTAGTAGGCTCCCAGCACATGTGTATCGGACTCACGCATGACTAGTACAAGCTGATTTTGGAACCTTGGAAGGACTAGCAAACCCCTCTTGCAGAGGGTACACATTGAGGGTTGTGGGAAGTGGGGCCCAGGGAGGGTGCTGGGTGAGGGTGGGGCAGAGGGAGCGTGAGGCCAGCTATGCAGTGCCTCATGCTGCTACATGAGTGACAAGACATTAAAATATCATAGTCACCTATAATTTATAAAGGGCCACCATAGGATGCACAAAATCCTGTTGAAATTGCCAAAAGCAGCATTAGTGTTTGGTTCAGTTCACAAGCCCCTCCAATGATGGCTTGCACTGCACTGACCAGAGGCCCTCCTGTTGTGAGAGGAGCATTCCCTGCAAAGCCTAGCTTGTTGCAGGCCCCAGGAACCCCACCCTCTGCACCTTTGCCTGGAGGAGGGTCAGGGGAACAGGCTTCCCCTGGTGTTAGCAGTCAAACTGCAAAGGGACATGGAAGCAGGGAAAAAAGAAAGCAGCAGAACAGCAGTGATGGAGTGTTTGGGGGATCAAATCCGGGTTACCACCAACTGCTGGCTGTGCAGGGCATGCCCCCTCTCTGGAGAATGAGCAAGCAGGGGGCAGCAAGGCCGGTCAGGGTGTGGTAGATGGATGGAGGGGGGCCCGAACGAGACTCTGTCTGACCAGGGGCCCTTTCAGTCCATCTGATGTGGCCTCTGTGTCCCCACTCTTGTGGGAGCTGGAGACTGGCACCCAAATGGGGGTCTCTTGCAGGCTGCCTGCTCCCCGTGCCCGCCCGGCCACTACTGCAGCTCCCCTGGCCTCGCCAGGCCTTCTGGGCTCTGCAGCCCAGGCTTCTTCTGCCTCCGTGGGGCACTCGTCCCCAATGGCTCGCTAGGCTCTCTGGGAGACCTGACCGGTGGCCCGTGTCCTGCAGGTACCCCCGGGGGCTGCCTTGAGCAGGGTCCTGGGAGGTGGAAATGAGCAAGCTCTGAGACTGCCACACAAACAGGGCCCAAGGGCCAGCAGGAGGTTTCCAGCAGTCCCCTGGGCCCTCCAGGGACTGGGTTTAGGATGGGGCCCCTCAGGGTGCCAGGGAATGGGGCTTCCTCTGGCTTTGACCTGTCTGGTCTGCTTCCCTTTCAGGACACTTTTGTCCCCCAGGCACTGTAACCCCGAGACCCTGCCCGGCAGGCACTCACAACAGCCTGGCCTCCCAGGGCCACTGTGAGCCTTGTCCTGAAGGGTGAGTGCTGAGAGGCCATCCTGGGCCATGTCCCGCTGGGCACACTTTGCGTTCCTGCCACAGCAGGTGGCACACCAGCTGCTCTAGCTAAGACTCCTTTCAACCTGAATTTTCTGTGAGTTGGAGAAAACACAGGAGAACTTCCACAGCTTCCCCCAGCCTTCGTTCTTTATGTCTCTCCATCTCTGTGTTGGGTGTTGCTGAGTCAAACTTGGGCCTCTTTTGCTGCAATTTAAGCAGTTGAGCCCTCCCGGACCTAACCCCACCCCTACCAGTGCTTGAGCCGCAGCACAGCTGTGTCCCCAGCCTGTGGGTGACTGTTGAGGCCACAGATGAGGGGTGACCAGCAGCCACCTCCAACCCACCTGTCCTCCCTGCAGCTTCTTCTGCCCGGCAAACACCTCCTCCGTGGTGGGAAGTGAGTGTCCAGCCGGCCACTACTGTCCAGCCTCCACCTCCTTTGCATCTCAGTTCCCCTGCCCCAGGGGTACCTACAGACCACAGAGAGGGGGTATCCAGCAGTCAGACTGCATCCCCTGCGAGCCAGGTAAGGGGGCAGGGATGCACCCCTGCCCCAGACACATTAGGCCACATCCTCCCTGCCTGAGGGCAGGGCTCAGGCCTGACTCAGGTGGAGGTGCTGGCCAGAGCCCATGGTGCACATCAGCCCACATTTGCTGGTTGGGGGGCTGTCCCCATTTTCCCGCCCCCCCCAATTCCTGGGGATCCTGTCTTTACCTCTTCCCTGCAGGCTTCTACTGTCTACTGCCTGGGCTGGCGGCCATGTCTGGGCCCTGCAGTGCGGGGTTCCACTGCACTCAGGGAGCATCTGTCCCAAATCCCACTGATGGGCTCACAGGAGACCTCTGTCCTCCAGGCCACTTCTGTCCCCAGGGCAGCCCCAGGCCTACTCCATGCCCCCCAGGTGGGTTACCAATGAGGGAACACCAGCAGTGCGGGTCTGCTCTGGGCTCTTTGGAAGGGAGAGGAGTGAAGGCCCAGCCTTGGGGAGCCTCCTAGGGAAGGATATAGAAGAAACACCCAAATTGCAATTAAGGACCAGCATCCATCCTGCACCCACGTAGCATGGGGCTTAGGGGTGGAATGGCGAATGGGGTGACTTAGAGCTGGGGCCCAGGCTTCTGAGGGAGGCTTGAACGCGAGGGGCTGATGGTAGAGGCACAGCAGGAAGTGGGTGATGCCCAGCAGCCCCAGGAATGGGGGGTAAGATGCACCTCAGCTGTGTCAGCTGAGCCCAAGCTGCAGAACACCAGGTGACGAGGTGGCCCAGGAGCCTTGGGGTCACTGGTGTCTGAGGCTGAGCGGGCAGAGCAGGGTCATGGCTCTGCCACCCAAGACGAGACACCGTGGGTCTCCATCTGGGAGGCCTCCTGGTGGTGGCCACAGTGTGTGGACCTACAGGCTCTCTCCTGCCCATCCCTGGGGCCACGTCACCAGGCAACTGCCAGCCCTGCCCAGGCGGCTGGTTCTGCTCCCGGGCTGGCCTGAGCTCCCCAGAGGCTGCGTGTGAAGGAGGCTGGTTCTGCCCCAGAGCCTCTATCTCGGGGCGCAGTCCAGGTAAGGGCAGACCCTTTTCCTGCTCTGGGTGCTATGGGACCTCCAGCAGGCTGGCCTGGAAGGAGACATGGGCCCCGCTCCGCTTTCATGCTCCTGTCGGCCCACAGTGGTGAGATGGGTCCTTGTAACTAGGCCAAAGCACCGTGCACTAGCGAGGCAGGCTGCCCGGGTGCCCGGAACTCAGAAAGGCAGATGGGAGATGCTTGGGATGAGTGAGAGGGAGGGAAGGAACAAGAAGCATTTTAAAAATCAGTCAGAGATGGAGAATCCAGTGCTTTGGAGGAGGGAATAAAGGGGCCACACAAGACCCTCTAGTGAGGAGGCAGGAAGGATCTTCACCCATCATGTGAGGGCCAGTGCCCAGGGGAGAAGGGGCAGAGGGCCAGACCCCAAGGACAGGGGTGCATTTGAGCTCCCCTGAGCAGAGCTGTCATAGTTCTATCCTCTGGGGCCTCTGTTCTTCATTGAAAACTGAGAGCAGGGTGGCCCAGGTGTGCCACCCATCACAGGCCCCGCTCACTCAGCCACAGTATGGAGGGAGTAGGAAGTGGAAGTCCTGGGCTCTGGGCGGGAGGAGATGAGGAGTATCCCAATGGAAATCACTGAAATCACTGTGTCCCTTGGCTCTTGCAGGCAATCTCTGCCCCATGGCACACTCCTGCCCCCTAGGGAGCCTGGAGCCCCTTCTCTGTCCCCCGGGACAGTATCAGGATGAACCTGGACAGACTCTGTGCAAGATGTGCCCAGCTGGAAAGTGAGCTGTTGCTGGGGTGGGGCGGCTCCTCTATCTGGGTGACATCAGACTTTTCCCGCCCCCTTCCCCAAAGCCAGAGGGGCTCAGACGTTGCAGAGACCACTGCAGACCCCCAATGGCCTGCAGAACCCAGTATAACAAACACTGTCATGCCAACGCAGGGGCCTTGGGGAGCTGCAGTTATCACGCACAATACTCAGTGTGACGAGGCTGCTGTCATCCCTTTCCTGACCTCAGATGGTCCTGTTTGATGGAGGGGTTTCCTTCCGCCCAAGTCCATCTGGTGGAGCCTCACTTCCTAGAAAGCTTTGGGATGTAGAAGGTGGTGACTCCTTCATTCCTGACCACCCACCGGCTGTGTCCACAGGTTCTGTGCTTTCGGGACCCAGGGGCCAGAATCCAGGTCCATTTGGCCAGTGGACTGTCCTGCTGGCTACTACTGCCCTTCGGGTACCCAGACTGCCACCCAGCACCCATGTCCCGGAGGCACCTTCCAAGGGAGGCCTGGAGCACGCAGCACTGAGGACTGCAAACCCTGTCCCGCAGGACACTTCTGCTCAGATTCAGGTGACAGGAGCCCTCTTTTTGGGACTTTGCAGAGTCCTTAGCTGATTCATTTGTCCTGTGGAGACATCCAGGTCCCCTCGCATCATGCATGACCTGCAGCCCCATATAGGGGATACTGCTACAGGCCTGGGCATGGGGATGGGAGAGGGAGGCAAAGGTGACGTGGCCTGACCCCCGCAAGTTCACAATAGGAAAGGGTGGAAGGACGGATAGAACATGAGTGCCCCAGCCAGGCAGTGCCCTTAGGAGGCTCTGCTGGCCTAAGGAGGGGGTACAGCTTTGTGGAGTGTTTGCTGTAGGGTTCCCTGCCTTGTTCAGGAAGCAGAGGCTCCATCCAGAGTGGCAGGGCAGGATTGTGGGGGGACCATGCTGGGACAGAGCCCAGGGATGAGAGGTGGATGTGGCTGTGACCCTGTGGAGGAGGAACAGGGTGGTGTGTGTTTGCCAATTGTAGCTGTCTAGTCCATTCCTATGGAAATCACCCAGAACAAGATACAGCTGGGTGGGAAGTGGACGCATGCGTGATACTGGGAAGCAGAGGGAACTGTAATTCCCCCAAGTGGTACCCAGGCCCCCAGGGACCCCACAAGAGCACAGCGTGTCACACCAGAATAAGGCTGGGAGGTCCAGCACTAGTGGAGGTGGCACAACCCCACACGCCTCAGCTCCCTTAGCACCTCCTGTCTTTCCAGGTTCCCCAGTTAGCGCTATCTCGCTTTGGCTCTGCATATCCCCATGAGATGTGACTAGACAGGGCTCTTTGAGTTCACAGAGGCTCCTCAGCTGCATAGGTTGTGAATTGTAGAGCCGGGAGGGGATGCAGTCTAGCGCTAGAACCCAGCTTAGGCACTTCTGTGCCCCTTTGCCCCTTTCACCTTCCCTTCTCACCTGAAGCCAGGCCCACTGTCTCCATCCTCTGCACAGGGGCCGGGAAGCGCTTCCCAGACGGGCCATGCTCAGCAGGTTATTATTGTCCCCCTGGCCAGACCTCAGCCACCCCCACATCTTTCCGGTGCCCCCAAGGCTTCTACTGTCCTGAGGGATCATCCCAGCCAAGGGCCTGTGAGAACGGAACATTCCAGCCCCAGGAGGCCAAGGGGTCCTGTGAGCCCTGCCCCCCTGGATTCTACTGTGAAGCCTCAGGCACAGGTGGGCTCCCTGGGGCTGAGACAAGGCCCCCGCGGGATGCTGGGCCCCAGAGCCAGGTGCCAGGAACGGGGGCACCTAGCTCTCCATGAGCCCCTGAAGAAGCAACGCCTCCTTGTCAGAGAGGGGAAGGATCAACCTGAGGTGGCTCAGGGTGACACGAGATCCCAGTGTTCCCTGTCCCTTTCATTTAGATTTGGCTTCAGGATGTGTCTTGGGAATTCCTTATGTAAGAAGTGTGGTTGTCATTGTCAGTGTCATGATCCATTTGCAACCCGAAGTGGAGGGAGGGGGACTCTGAGATAGGCCAGGTACACGGGAAGGGCACATCAGGACTTCAGCCAGGATGGGCCTGCAGGGAGACTCATAAGGATACCAGTGCCCAAGACAGGGCAGAACTGGACTGGCTGAGATCTAGGGCACTGGGACCTTGGCTGTGGCCTGAGTCAGTCTCCCCCAGGCACAAGGTACCTGCTGTACACCAACCATGACCTTGGCCATCTCTACTGGCCCAGCAGAGAGGCCTGAGCAGTGAGGTCTGCAGGCCACTGAGCAAACCCAGGGGTGGTGGCTCTCGTGTGACCAGTGTGGGCAAGAGCCACATCCTGAAGAAAGGATCTCAGGGGCCCACAGAAGTTTCCTGAGCACGCACCTTACGTCAGGTTGGCCGGTGGTCAGCCATTGAGGGACCCCTCCTGGCCAACATGCCCAGAAATTAGAGTAAAGCATCTTGACCGTGGGCTGACCCAGGACAGTTTCAGAGCCTGGGCATCCACTGTCACTGCCAGCTCCGCTCACCCTGCCATTGTCCCCTAGGTCCCACAGCCGGCAGCCCCAGCCTGTGCCTCCAGGGCTACTTCTGTCCCCCCGGCTCCCACTCAGCCACTGCCCACCCGTGCCCTCTGGGAACCTTTGGGCCCAGGCGAGGGGCTGCTGCCGAGCTGGACTGCGAGCTGTGCCCGGCAGGTTTGTGGACTCTGGGCTGTGGGCCCTCAGGAAGCCTAGGCTGAAGGCTGAGGAGAGAATGAGGTCCGTGAGGGAACACACTGCCCATCACCGCAGCACCTCACGAGTGCAGCAGCCGGTCAGGGAAAGGAACGTCAGGTCCAAACATGAGCCAGGCCCCCTTGACCTCCTGTCGCGTCCACAGCCCCCAACACCCTTGGGGTCTTCAGGGCCTCCTCACGCCTGTGCCCAGCTCACCCACATGCACCTCCGGGGCCCAGGACAAGACCAATCTCATGTTCTCTTCAGGGAGCAGATGTTACTGGAGAGAGAGCCCTGCCCTGGTTTAGGCAGCCCCCTGTCTCTCTAGATCTTTCTGCCCCTCACTCCCCAAGTCTGCCGTCACATCAGCACCCTGTGATAGTTTGAGAGCCTGGGGGGGGGCAGGGGACACAGTCCAAGAGAGGCAGGCTGGTGCTAGAGCAGGAGGAAGGTGGAGTGGCCCCTCTGTCACCTGCCCCTTGAATCTGCCCCTTTAGGGATGTTCTGCTCATCAGAAGGGCTGTCCCAGCCATCGGGGCCCTGCCACTCCTCTCACTACTGCACAGGGGGAGCGGTGTCCCCCACTCCCATCAAACACAAGGTAGGCGATGCTGGGCACGGCACCCCAGATGGGTGTTTGAGCCCACCCTGCAAAACCCACGTGTGATGAAACCACAAAGCTGGCTGGGGTCCTGCTGGGCTGGCGGGTTCTCCCAGCAGAGTTGAAGTGGCCTGAGAGCAGTACCCTCCCACCTTGGTTTCCCCCGGGCCCAGTGGTAGCTAATTTTAATGATTCTAGGATATGCACCTTTTCACATTGACCATCTCTAACATCATCAGCATCTTATAATCCATAGCATCTGGCAATCATAATGGCAGTGATTTGTTTTCTCTGAAATCATTTGCCTTTCAGTAGATGACATTTTGGGTTTGATGACACGTGGCAGTGACAGCAGGTAATACACACCCAGAGCCTTTACTTGGACTGTGCTGCACACACACTGACTCAGCATCCTCACAGAAGCCCTCTGGGAGGCCCCCAGGTCACCCCATTGTAGACATGAAGACATTGAGGGGCAAATGGGCTAATGGACTTTCTCAAGGCCACGTGGTGAGAAAGTGACCTCATTATACTGTAGGGCAGGGTGGTGGGGAGTCAGCTGGGTGGGTGGACACACGGACCAGTGCTGGACAGACGTGGGGGCAGATGGGCCTTCGTGCATTAGCTGACTGGCTCTGACTCGTTTTGTTACTGAGTTACTGTGTGACCTTGGACATACATGCCCCTGGCCACTCTGGTCCCTGGCTTCCCTTTTAGAACACAGACTGCCCCTTCTGAAAGTCACCAATTACACATCCACAGTACAGAGAAGAGCCTAGCCTGGGAGATGGTGGGTGGGCAAGGGGGGTACTGCAGCCCTGCAGCCTTGCAGCCCTGCATCGGCACCATGATTCAGGAAGAAAACACTTCCCAGGCCTTAGTTGGTACAGTTAGAAGCACACGCTAACAGTGCAATTTTGCCTGTAATGTTATTTGCAATGTCACCTCATTTACATCGATGCCAACCCTGTCTTCCCTGCCAGGTGCCAGTCCTGAGGCCACAGCCCTAATCGGAACCCCTTTCTTTCTTCTCTCTGGCTGCACAGACGGAGGCCCCAGGACTTTCTGGGAATGACATCTGCCCTCCTGGCTTCTTCTGCCCCAGGGGAACAGGCATCCCTGTGCCATGCCGGCCTGGGTTTTACTCCTCCGCCCCAGGCCTGGCCAGTGAAGACCAGTGCCAACCGTGTCCCCCTGGGCACTTCTGTGACAGCCTTGGACTGTCTCATACCCTGGAGGCTGAGCTCTGTGACGCAGGGTGAGGGCCCTGCAGTGGCCTCAGGAGGGAGGAGGGTCCCTAGCTCAGGCCCGCCCCAGTCCCTAAGTCACAGACTACCCCTCAGCTCCCATGGTCTCTCCCAGCCCCTCAGAGGAGCCCAGACCAGGGCGACTGTCTACCCCAGGCGTGTGGGCCCCAACATGCCATTCCTTCCATCTTCATGGGCCCTCCCAACAAAGGAGCTCTGGGTGTGTGCCTGCAGCCCGTGGCCCCACCCAGTCCCAGGGCAGCCTCCCAGTGAGTCTGTATCCCATTGCCCAACATCCTCTACCAACAGGCATCCTAGACCCCTGCCAGGGGCATTTTCCTCTATTGTCCAGAGCGCTGGAGACTGGCCGCAGCCACCAGTAAACTGGCCAGGTCCTGTGTGAGGGAAGACTTGCTCCATCTGCTCAGGGGCTCTGAGGGTGGAGAAGTGGAGAGGGGAGTGTGCTTATTCTAGAAAATGCTGCCCCTTCCCTGACTGTCTTCTTGAGCCCCTACTGCTTGGTTCCTATCGCAGGGGCCAGAAGCACATTGAGAGTTGAGGGCCTTTCACTGTAGGGATGGCTGGTGGCTTAGGCCACACTGGCCTCAACCTGATGACCCGGCTCCATGGCTACCCCAACCCTCGCCTTCGTCTGCCCGGCCAGGACCCCGGGTCATGGGGAGGATCAGCCACAGCTCTCCGTTTCCTTAGGTACATCTGCCTGGGAGGCAGTGCTGTCCCCTCACCCTCTGATGGAATCCATGGATACAGATGTTCCCCTGGCTTCCGCTGTCCCCCAGGGGCCCACAGCGAGCTGCCCTGTGAGCCAGGCACCTTCAGCCCGTTGTCTGGGGCTGACACCTGCTTGCCCTGCCCAGCAGGCACCTACTGCCCAAAGGCCACCAGCGTGGAGCCCACCATCTGCCCCAAAGGTAATGAATGCCCTCAGGCTGGCCTCTGCCCTGGTTCTCAGGGCACAGGGACATTGGATATGATCACAGTGATAGTACATGTCAGGGCTCAACATAGATGGCTCCCTGGGCTCAGCTCCATCCGGAACTCCATGCTGTCAACAAGGCTGCTGACCATCCTATAAAATGGGCTGATCACGCCACAGAGGGAGGACACAGGAAAGGCTGCTGAGGGAGCCGCAGCCCCCCCCCGGGGACAGTGCCAGTGCCTTCCTTCACATGCTCTGTGACCGGCCTTGTATGTCCCCAGCGGGTGCCCAGGAGATGAGGATACAGGTGTCATGGAGGGAAGACACAGGCCTGAGAAGCAGGACATCTAGTCAGTCCCTGCCCCTATCCTAAGGCCACAATCTGTCTGCAAAGTGAGGCCAGAGTGCTCTGGTGTGAGCCAGGCTGCCTGTCGGGGTACACCCAAGGCAGCCATTTCTCCAGAGGAAATCTGGGGGCTCTAGGGGTACACATGACCCCTCAGTCTTCAGGACAAGAGACGCAGCTCCACAGAGCCAGAGCACAGCTGTCACCTACCTCTCTCTAAGTAATGACCCCACAACCTCAGTGCTGACACCTCTGTGTGCACACATGTGCACACACATGCATGCCTACTCACACATGTGCACACAGGCACACTACCCTGTCCTGACCTCCCCCAGAGCCTCCCTCTCCTGGACCCTGAGTCCCTGCCCCCACCCCCCCACTCCCTC